GTCTTCGTGAGACGTGGTGTGGGTGAACGGATGATCTCCGCATGTGTATTTCCACTTAACCAGCATGGCTACCACAGAATTCTGCAGGGATACGCCATCCCATCTGGTTTAGGCTTAGTGGGACTATCATTTGTTTTTCAACACGACAGGGTGTGTAAGGGCTATTTTACCAAGAAGAAGAGTGATGGAGTGCTGCATCAGATGACCTGGCCTCCACAAACCCCCGACCTCAACCCAATTGAGATGGTTTGGGATGAGTCAGACCGCAGAGTGAAGGAAAAGCAGCCAACAAGTGCTCAGCATATGTGGGAACTCCTTCAAGACTGTTGGAAAAGCATTCCAGGTGAAGCTGGTTGAGAGAATGCCAAGAGTGTGCAAAGCTGTCATCAAGGCAAAGGGTGGCTATTTGAAGAATCTCAAATATATTTTGATTTGTTTAACACTTTTTGGTTACTACATGATTCCATATGTGTTATTTAATAATTTTGATGTCTTCACTATTATTCTACATTGTAGAAAATAGTAAAAATAAAGAAAAACCCTTGAATGAGTAGGTATTCTGAAAGTTTTGACCGGTAGTGTATATAATCTGAAAAATTATGAAAGTATCTTTGTTAAGATAGGATTTTAGTTTTCTAATGAGATAATTGTTTTTCATATAAGCTTTGTACAAGTATGTAGCCACGCCCCGAGGGAGCTCAGAGAGCATATCAGCATGACGGAAAGCCCTTCGGCCAGAGTGCATAAAAAGCCTTGGGCGGTGGCTACACGTCCGAAAATGGTTGGAACGTTGAACCTCAACATGAAGTAAGGCGGCAGGTAGCTTAGTGGTTAAGAGCGCGTGCCAGTAACCGAAAGGTCGCTGGTTCTAATCCCCGAGCCGACTAGGTGAAAAATGTTGATGTGCCCTTGAGCAAGGCACTTAACCCTAATTGCTCCTGTAAGTCGCTCTGGATAAGAGCGTCTGCTAAATGACATTTTTTAAAAATTTTAAGTAAAGAAGATCAACTCCCAGACTAGATCCGAACATTGCCAGGCTGCAGCTGTGCGTGTAAAGTGGTTCAAACTCTGTCTAACCACACGAGGTGGGAAGGAGAAAATCCCCTCTCAGACAATCACTGGGACAGCTAAGTAGCTGCTCTGAAGAAAGACCCCACTACTAGACCAGACAACTAAGAAGAAGGACATTGTGACCTCTTGTGGACAATCAGAGCCTTACACCCACAGGATCAAAACCCAAGAAGGCTTGATGTCGACGGAGAAACGACGAACGATGCCGTTTCATGCATTCATGATTTCTTACTCCAAACGGGCGGTGGTTCGTGAACAAAGTATTATGATTACTTTGAGAGTTTCCAAATGTATAAGTGTCTCTTTGTCTCTCTCTCCCTCTACCCCTCTCTATTTTGGTAACAAAGCAGTCATGTTGTTGTTAGTCCGCTAGGGACTTTTTCTCATGTATTAAGTGTGTATGTTATTCTGTGTTATTATTTAGTTAGCTAGTAAATAAATAATTTAACCAATTTGTGTAGTGCTGAATCATAAGTAAAGCTGGGGTTCTTGCGGATCCAAGAAGTCTACGACCGTTCAGAATGACGACTGATAAGAGGTAATGGTTAATACGTTGACTGTTTTATATATATTGATAGGTAAAGTATGAACAATGTATGCACTCACTAACTGTAAGTCGCTCTGGATAAGAGTGTCTGCTAAATGACTAAAATGTAAAAATGTAAAGACCTTTATAGCTTAATTTGGGAGATGGTAACTCTATAAACAACTTCTTCTGTGGTTCCCCAAATCCTAATGAGTTAATTTAATCAAGTAACAATTAAACATGGTTAGTTGATTGGATAAATAACAGTCATCAGATTAATGAAAGTCACATCTTAGACAATTGCTTAGAATCAAGGGCAATGGTGACATCATTTAGGCCTTTAAGGTTGCAGGGACACATCCATAACCTGTCATAACCTGTCATGTTGATATGATTTTCAGTTTGCTTCCATCCATAACCTGTCATGTTGATATGATTTTCAGTTTGCTTCCATCCATAACCTGTCATGTTGATATGATTTTCAGTTTGCTTCCATATGACTGTTTTCACAATCGTCTCCAGGGATCATAAAGAAAAATCACCTCAAAACAATTGCTGTGCATTTAAAATCCCCTTCTCCAAACGGATTACTAATTTACCTAGTTCTTATCAATAGCTCTTATCAATGTGTAAATTAGAGTGCATGGAGAATGCTGTTATTTCTATTGGAAAAAATAAAGTGGATGCTTTTTCCACTTGGAACTGGCAGGTTCGCTCAACCTTATTCAGGTTTCCCCGTGCATAAAGATGGTGGAATTATGAGGGGAATTAAGTCAAATCAAATCACATTTTATTTGTTACGTGCGCTGAATACAACAGGTGTAGACCTTACCGTGAAATGCTTACTTACAAGCCCTTAACCAACAATGCATTTGAAAGAAAAGTAAGAGTTAAGAAAATATTTACTAAATAAACTAAAGTAAAGAAAATTAAAGAGCAACAATAAAATAACAATAATGAGGCTATATACAGGGGGTACCGGTACCAGTCAATGAGCGGGGTACAGGTTAGTTGAGGTAATATGTACATGTACTGTAGGTAGGGTAAAGTGACTATGCATAGATATTAAACAGCGCATAGCAGCAGCGTCAGTGCAAATAGTCCGGGTAGCCATTTGATTAACTGTTCAGCAATCTTATGGCTTGGGGGTAGAAGCTGTTAAGAAGCCTTTTGGACCTAGACTTGGCGCTCCGGTACCGCTTGCCGTGCGGTAGCAGAGAGAACAGTCTATGACTAGGGTAGCTGGAGTCTTTGGCAATTTTTAGGGCCTTCCTCTGACACCGCCTGGTATAGAGGTACTGGATGGCAGGAAGCTTGGCCCCAGTGATGTACTGGGCCGTACGCACTACCCTCTGTAGCGCCTTGCGGTCGAAGGCCGAGCAGTTGCCATACCAGGCGGTGATGCAACCAGTCAGGATTCTCTCGATGGTGAAGCTGTACAACTTTTTGAGGATCTGAGGACACATGTCAAATCTTTTCAGTCTCCTGAGGGGGAATAGGCGTTGTCTTGCCCTCTTCACGGCTGTCTTGGTGTGATAGTTTGTTGGTGATGTGGACACCAAGGAACTTGAAGCTCTCAACCTGTTCTACTACAGCCCCGTCGATGAGAATGGGGGCGTGCTCGGCCCTCCTTTTCCTGTAGTCCACGATCAAATGTTACAACTTTTCTTCCACTTTGACATTACAGAGTATTTGTGTAGATCGTTGACAAAAAAAAAGACAATTCAATCCATTTTAATCCCACTTTGTAACACAACAAAATGTGGAGGGGTGGGAACACTTTCTGGAGATACTGTAGTATAAAGGATAATAATATAATCTATATGAGATACTAGGAATAGGTTGTAATTTGGGAGAATCTCATTTGCATACTTCTTGTGTCCTCTCTCCTCGCCTCCTTCTCAAAACTCATTGGAGGAGAAGGTCAGAGGGGAGGGACCTCTGGCTTTCTCATCCAATGGGTTTTCAGAAGGAGGCGAGGAGACAGGACACGAGAAGTATGCAATTGAGATTTTCGGCATGTATCACGTTCCACACAGGATTTAGGCCATGGATTGACCTCCTGGTTTGACCTGGAATTCACTAGGGACTTTTATTTAACCAAGACCTATTTTTAAGCCAATACATTTACAAGATGTCAGACTGGCCCTAGCCTTGGCAGGACCAGTTTTGCCTAAAATATTTTGGCCCTCATGTGGAAAGCAATAAAAGCTAATTTATGCTAGCAGTTGAGTACAATCTGGACTGGCCTATTCTGTGTTGTTTAAATTACTTTTTGGTTCAAAACAAATTCTAATTTATGCTATGAAGAAATATAGACTAACCTTGACTGATTCTCTTGATTTTTCTCTTCCAGAGTAGTGTGCCCGGGCTTGTTGTCGCAGTTAGCACATTTCAGTCATCTGTTGTTTTGAAGTAGTCCATGACAGGCATGCAATGGCACATCACTATAATGAGTGTGTCAGCTATCTACTGTATCTAAGCACACAGGAAACCGCACACAGGAAATGATGTTTATTTAGTTATGCAGTATGACATAAGACCAATCACATGATGTCATTCCTGCTAAGGCACAGTAGGTCACTACAGTAATGCAGCATGTCCGACATCATAAATATTATGATAATATTTTATATAGCATCCTCATCTACCTCTGAGCCTATTTCATTAATCGAACCTCAGAAGCATGACTTCAGTGTGTATGTAATGTTGAGTGCGTGTCTTCTCAGTAAACATGTTCACACTGGCACCATGTGGGCTAAAATATTGGTCTCACGTAGGCTGCCAAACATGGGCCGATGTAGCTTTGCTCACCAGCTCCACATCGGCCCCAAGGTCAGCCCTCACTTCTCCTGATATAGTCCACTCTTTTGGATCAGCTGCCTGTTACATTGTATCAAAAAAGACAACATAGTTGTTACTATCATATATACAGTATTTACCAAAAACAGAAAAGTTTCTCATATGTCAAATGCACGTATCTTTTTACAGACTTAATCATTGCCAGTTTACAAGATAACTTTTTTGTTGAAATCACAGTCACACAACAGAACACTCAAACTAGAACTTCAGTTCACACAAAAAGTGGTGTGGGCTTGGTGTAGGCTTGCTGGTGTTGGACTGGTGTAGGCTTGGTGTAGGCTAGCTGGTGTTGGACTGGTGTAGGCTTGGTGTAGGCTAGCCGGTGTTGGACTGGTGTGGGCTAGCCGGTGTTGGACTGGTGTAGGCTTGGTGTAGGCTAGCCGGTGTTGGACTGGTGTAGGCTTGGTGTAGGCTTTTGCCTGGTGTTGGACTGGTGTAGGCTAGGTGTAGGACGGTGTGGGCTGGTGTGGGCTAGCCGGTGTTGGACTGGTGGGCTTGGTGTAGGCTAGCCGGTGTTGGACTGGTGTAGGCTTGGTGTAGGCTAGCCTGTGTTGGGCTGGTGTTGGACTGGTGTAGGCTTGGTGTAGGCTAGCCTGTGTTGGGCTGGTGGTAGCCTGGTGTTAGGTACTGGTGTAGGCTGGTGTTGGGCAGGTGTTGGACTGGTGTAGGCTAGCCGGTGTTGGGCCGGTGTTGGACTGGTGTAGGCTAGGGTGCTGGCCGTGTTGGACTGGTGTAGGCTGCGGTGGACCTGGTTGGGCTTTGGGGTAGGCTAGCTTGTGTTGGCGTTGTGTATGTCATCTAGCACCTGTTGACTGGTTGCAGTATAGCACGGTTGTTTCGGACTTTGTTGAAGAGGCTACTGAGCAGTTGATGGCGAGGGAATTTGGTGGAAAGGGCAGAGCTCATCAGCAGCAGCAGGTTTAGCCACAGGTTTGGTGGTAGCTAACTACTTTAGCTAGTCTCCCTCAACATAAGGGTTGGGTAATGCTAATAAGCTAGTGTTAACGCTCAGCATCCTTAAGCTATTTGTGATGCGTGTGATAGAAGGAGTCAGGCGCAGGAGAGTAATACGCATCCAAAGAGTTTATTCCGTCGATAAACAGTTGCGCAAGCATGCGACAACAAAACTCAGGCTAGCCAGGCAACCAAGCACAGGGGAACCAGGCACAGGGGAACCAGGCACAGGGGAACCAGGCACAGGGGAACCAGGCACAGGGGAACCAGGCACAGGGGAACCAGGCACAGGGGAAAATACCTACCCTGGCAACAACAAGGTAAGGGTAGCTCAACCGAGCTACACACAGCTCACTACAAACAATCACCCACACAGACAAGGAAGCAGAGGGAACACTTATACAATGACTAATTGGGGATAAGGACCAGGTGTGTGTGATTAATTAGACAAGACAAGTGGAGTGATGATAAATGGATCGGCAGCAGCTAGTAAGCCGGTGACAACGACCGCCGAAACCTGCCCGAACAAGGAGGGGAGGCAGCCTCAGCGGAAATCGTGACAGTATCCCCCCCTTGACACGCGGCTCCAGCAGCGCGCCGACACCGGCCTCGGGGAGGACGCAGAGCAGGGCGAGCCGGATGGTGATGGTGGAAATCCTGTAACACCGTTCCTCCGGACCGTACCCCTCCCACTCCACGAGGTACTGAAGACCCCCCACCCGACGCCTCAAATCCAGGATGGAACGGACAGAGTACGCTGGGGCCCTCTCGATGTCCTGAGGAGGTGGAGGGACCTCCCGCACCTCAGACTCCTGGAGCGGACCAGCTACCACCGGCCTGAGGAGAGACACATGAAACGAGGGGTTAATACGGTAATCAGGGGGAAGTAATAACCTATAAGTGACCTCGTTGACTCTCCTCAGGACTTTGAACGGCCCCACAAACCGTGGGCTCAGCTTCCGGCAGGGCAGGCTGAGGGGCAGATTCCGGGTCGAGAGCCAGACCCGATCCCCCGGTACAAAGACGGGGGCCTCACTGTGGTGACGGTCAGCGTTGGCCTTCTGACGACGCATTGGAGGTGAACGTGGGCAGCATCCCACGTCTCCTTCGCGTGCCGAAACCAGTCATCCACCGCAGGAGCCTCGGTCTGGCTCTGGTGCCACGGTGCCAGAACCGGTTGGTAACCTATACACTGGAAAGGTGTTAGGTTAGTGGAGGAGTGGCGGAGAGAGTTCTGGGCATATTCTGCCCATGGCAAGAACACCGACCACTCCCCTGGCCGGTCCTGGCAGTAGGACCGCAGGAACCTACCCACATCCTGATTTACCCGTTCCACCTGCCCATTACTCTCGGGGTGGAACCCAGAGGTCAGATCTTGGATGTGAACTGGGGACCTCGGTCAGACACTATATCCTCTGGTACCCCGTAGTGCCGGAAGACGTGTGTAAACAGGGCCTCCGCAGTTTGCAGAGCCGTGGGGAGACCGGGCAGAGGAAGGAGGCGGCAGGCTTTAGAAAAGCGGTCCACAACGACCAGGATGGTGGTGTTACCTTGGGAGAGGGGAAGATCAGTTAGAAAATCCACACTTAGGTGAGACCATGGTCATTGTGGAACTGGTAAAGGTTGTAACTTACCCGCTGGGAGGTGCCTAGGTGCCTTACTCTGGGCGCACACCGAGCAGGAGGAGACATACACCCTCACGTCCTTAGCCAAGGTAGGCCAGCAGTATTTTCCGGTTAGGCAGCGCACTGTACGACCGATACCTGGGTGACCAGAGGAGGGTGATGTGTGTGTCCAGTAGATCAGACGATCACGGATAAGAGCAGGCACGTACTGCAGCCCAGCTGGACACTGAGGTGGAGATGGATCTGTGCGTAATGCCTGCGCTATATCCGCGTCCATCGCCCATACTACCTGCGCCACAATGCAGGAGGCCGGCAGTATGGGAGTGTTGTCTCTGGGCCTCTCCTCTGTGTCATACAGCCAGGACAGCGGGTCTGCCTTCACGTTCTTCGTACCCGGGATGTATGATAGAGTGAAATCAAACCGGGTGAAGAATAGGTCCCACCTGGCCTGGCGAGGTTTCAGCCTCCTCGCTGCCCGGATGTACTCCAGGTTATGATGGTCCATCCAGACGAGGAAAGGGTGTTTGCCCCCTCGAGCCAATGCCTCCACACGGTCAAGGCTCGGACAACAGCCAACAGCTCCCGATCACCAACGCCGTAGTTCTGCTCCGCCGGGCTGAGCTTCTTTGAAAAGAACGCACAGGGGCAGAGCTTGGGTGGCGTACCCGAGCGTTGAAACATAACAGCGCCTATCCCAACCTCGGACGCATCCACCTCCACTACGAACGGTAGTGATGAATCGGGGTGGGCCAGTACTGGGGCTGAGGTGAACAGATCCCGCAGTTTGCTGAAGGCCAGGTCAGCCTCAGCAGACCAGCGGAGCCGGGACGGCCCACCCTTCAACAGGGAGGTAAAGGGAGCTGCGACCTTGCCAAAGCCCCGCATAAACCTCCGATAATAGTTGGCAAAGCCAAGGAAGGGCTGCACCTCCTTAACCGTGGTTGGAGTCGGCCAATTACGCACGGCTGAAATGCGATCTCCCTCCATCTCCACACCTGAGGTGTAAATGTGGTATCCAAGTAGGAGACGGACTGCTGGAAAAACATACACTTCTCTGCCTTAGCATAAAGTTCATTCTCCAACAGTCGGGCCAGCACCTTGCGAACCAGAGACACATGCTCAGCGCGCGTAGCAGAATACACCAGAATGTCATCGATGTAGACCACTACACCGCGACCAAGCATGTCCCGAAACACCTCGTTCACAAAGGACTGGAAAACTGAGGGAGCATTCATCAAACCATAGGGCATCACCAGGTATTCATAATGCCCCGTGGTTGTGCTGAATGCTGTCTTCCACTCATCTCCCTCTCGGATACGCACCAGGTTGTACGCACTCCTGAGATCTAATTTGGTGAAGAAGTGCGCCCCATGCATTGATTAAATCACTGAAGGAATGAGGGGGAGAGGATAAATAAATCTTATCGTCTCCCTGTTCAGTGGTCGATAATCAATGCACGGGCGCAGACCTCCGTCCATCTTCTTCACAAAGAAGAAACTCGAGGAGGCGGGTGAAGTGGAGGGACGTATATACCCCTGGTGCAGGGACTCGGTGATATATGTTTCCATAGCCTCCGTTTCAGCCTGTGACAGGGGGTATATATGACTCCTGGGAGGTACAGCATCTACCCGGAGGTTTATCCCGATGAGGTGGTAATTTAGTCGCCTGCGTTTTAGAGAGCGCTTGCACCAGATCTAGGTATTCAGGGGGAATGCGCATGGTGGAGGTACTGTCTGGACTTTCCACCGTGGTTGCACCAAAGGAAACACCTAGACACCTACCCTGACACTCTCGCGACCACCCCGTGAGAACCCTCTGTGGCAATGAAAAGGTGGGGTTGTGTAGTGCTAACCAGGGAAGACCCAACACAACAGGGAAATCAGGAGACTCGATCATAAAAAAAATGGACTCTCTCTCTATGGATCTCTTGTGTAACCATGGTGACTGGTGCTGTAACCTCCCTAGACACCTACCCTGACACTCTCGCGACCACCCCGTGGGTAACCATGGTGACTGGTGCTGTAACCTCCCTAGACACCTACCCTGACACTCTCGCGACCACCCCGTGGGTAACCATGGTGACTGGAGCTGTAACCTCCCTAGACACCTACCCTGACACTCTCGCGACCACCCCGTGGGTAACCATGGTGACTGGTGCTGTAACCTCCCTAGACACCTACCCTGACACTCTCGCGACCACCCCGTGGGTAACCATGGTGACTGGAGCTGTAACCTCCCTAGACACCTACCCTGACACTCTCGCGACCACCCCGTGAGAACCCTCTGCGGCCATGAGAAGGTAGGGTTGTGGAGTGCTAGCCAAGGGATACCTAATACCACAGGGAAAGCAGGAGACTCAATAATGGAAAAAGTAACCTGCTCACAATGAGTCTCCTGGGTAATCATGGTGACTGGTGCAATAACTTCCTTAACCAACCCGGACCCTAATGGTCGACTATCAAGTGCTCTGATGGGGGCGTGGAATGGATAGGGGAATCAATGGAATGCCTATACGATGTGCAAATGCCCTGTCCATAAAGTTCCCAGCTGCGCCTGAATCGACTAGCGCCTTACACTGGGGAACATCCATGTGCTCAGGAAAGGAGACAAGTATTTTACAGTGCGCAGCAGAGGGCTCTGAACGAGTGTGGGTGTTCAATACCTGGGGTGATGCGAGAGTGCCCTGCCTGCTGCCTCCAGGCCCAAAAGAATGTTGACTACGACGTGTGGTGGATTGTCCCTTCGTGCCACCAGAGTACTCCTCCTGTCCTCCTCCGCTCTCTCGGCCAGCGGCTCCACCCAGCTCCATCGGCTCGAGGTCCGAGTCTTCCAGAGTGGAAACGGGCAGACCCCGACCAGGACGCCCTCTGGCTGCCAACAGGTTGTCCAACCGAATGGCCATGTCCACCAGTTTATCGAAGGACAACATGGTGTCCCGGCAGGCTAGCTCCCGTCGGACGTCCTCCCGCAGATGGCACCGGAAATGGTCGATCAGGGCCCGCTCGTTCCACCCGGACCCCGCTGCCAGCGTCCGGAACTCCAACACGAAGTCCTGCACGGTCCTCGTCCCCTGCCTCAGGTGGACCAGTCGCTCACCCGCTTCCCACAGAGGCAGGAAACGAGGACGAACACCTTCTCCCGCTCCGATTGTGCCGGCCTGATGCTGGCGAAGTAAAGCTCCAATTGGAGGAGGAATCCCTGGCACAGCGCCGCTGTCCCCACAAACGCCTGTGGTCGGGATATCTGGATCCCTCCTGGTGCTGGGGTGTAGGTGGATGGATGCGGTTGGCCAGCTGGTCTCGACAGATCGGGTCTGCTCCTCTCCAGGCGTTGGATGACCTGAAGAACCCGATCCATCGCTTCCCCCAAGCTGGCCAGCATCGTGGAGTGCTCCTGGACCCGTGCCACGACTCCAGGCATGCGCTCTTCTCCCGCTGACTCCATAGCGGGTGGGTGATTCTGTGATGCGTGTGATAGTCAAAACTGTTCGCTGCTCTGGCACCCCAATGGTGGAACAAGCTCCCTCACGACGCCAGGACAGCGGAGTCACTCACCACCTTCCAGAGACATTTGAAACCCCACCTCTTTAAGGAATACCTGGGATAGGATAAAGCAATCCTTCTAACCCCCCCCCCCCCCCAAATTGTAAAGTGGTTATCCCACTGGCTATAGGGTGAACGCACCAATTTGTGAGTCGCTCTGGCTAAGAGCGTCTGCTAAATGACGTTAATGTGCCCTTGAGCAAGGCACTTAACCCTAATTGCTCCTGTAAGTCGCTCTGGATAAGAGCGTCTGCTAAATGACTAAAATGTAAATGTAATAGAAGGAGTCAGGCGCAGGAGAGTAATACGCATCCAAAGAGTTTATTCCGTCGATAAACAGTTGCGCAAGCATGCGACAACAACACTCAGGCACAGGGGAAATACCTACCCTGGCAACAACAAGGTAAGGGTAGCTCAACCGAGCTACACACAGCTCACTACAAACAATCACCCACACAGACAAGGAAGCAGAGGGAACACTTATACAATGACTAATTGGAGATAAGGACCAGGTGTGTGTGATTAATTAGACAAGACTAGTGGAGTGATGATAAATGGATCGGCAGCAGCTAGTAAGCCGGTGACGACGACCGCCGAAACCTGCCCGAACAAGGAGGGGAGGCATTCTCGGCGGAAGTCGTGACACTATTGGGTGTGAGTTATTTAACAATATATTTAGTGAATTGGCAAGCTAAAGATGTTGATATTAGGAAACGTTTTTATTTCCAGCTAGTGGATTTGATGGGATTCGTTTCTGTAGGTAGCTACTGGCTGGCTAGCCAGCTGAGACTGAAGAGATTATACGTTTTTTTGACTGAAGCGCAGTATCGTCTGACAGTGACACAGTGCCCCCTTGTGGACTGGAACTGAACTTTACTACAACATATTTAACCCTGTTTAAAATGACCAGTGTTGAGGTGGTACAACTGACTAAATTAAATGAATCATAGAGGTCATAACCTATTCTACAGGTAAACATGCTTGGCTCATGTCTGTTATTTCCATATGTAACTATTTGTAAAAAACTGCCCATGATTAAATTGTTGAAATTATTTCATTGAGCTTTTATTTTTATTAATTTAGCTACTGACTTGCACTGTTTACTCCATGTATATCATGTGTATATGACAAATAAACAAACTTGAACTTAGAAGGGAAAAAAGATGGTCAGCTTTGTGGTTAGATTGTAGGTGAACAAAACTTTGAAAATACATAAGTTATGTCTCCTCAAATGTTATTTAATGTAATAATCTCACAGCTGGTAGAACTGATGAAATGAATCATAGAGGTCTTTTAACTTATTCCATTCTACAGGCACATAATTTTTTGGCTCATGTCTCTTTTTATTCATATAGTCTAGGGACTCTTATCTGTTATGTTTGGAGTTGTGTTGATCTGTTTTGCGGACACTTGAATTTTTCTTTCCAGTTGAGTTGCCCTGGTCGTGTCAGTATACAGTAACTTTAAAGAGCAAGTGCCCCTAAAAACCAACAAATCATTTAGAAAACGGACTATGTGGCATCGATATGACTCAAATTGACTACAAAGTGTAATTAGGATAATTTTGGTCAAAAAGTCAGTCTCGTCCAAAACTGAGCTTTATGATACTTGTGATCTTGACTGCATCACAACATAAATGAAGGTTAGGTTTGTTTCAATTCTGCCCACATGACCACAGCTGGCAACACACAAGTATTCATCAATTCGGAGTGCAGCTGCACATGACCTGATAGTTATGCCTGTGGTAAATTTGGGTTGACTTTGGATATCCCTATGGAGCGATTTAGGGACCATCGGTAAATTACACAATGTACATGGGACAATATGTTAAAATTCCAATAGCTCCAAATTACAATGACTTAAAAACCTCAAACCAACGATAAATTGTAGAAATGAATATACAGATATTGAAAGCATTTAATGAGAACTAAAAGGTGTGCAACATGAAAATATTGTCACATTTACATTGTGTAATTTATTGACAGTCCCTAACTAGCCACAGCACTAGGGGTCAAAGTCAGGTCACACACCAGCCAGGCTGAAGCTAATTGGCTAACTCTTCCCACCTGCAAACACACACACGAGACACCCACATCAAACCACACCCCGATACCAACTAGTGTTTGAATTCAGTCATGGCTGCTAGCGTTTCTTAATTAATCAAATCTAAAATGAGGCCAAATCAGGAAGTGTAGTCACCCTTTAAAACTAACTAATGACATGTTGAACCTCTACTTTGCTACATTTCAGATGAGAGAAGAGCCCTATTCGCACGGGACTAGTATTATAGAGAATGTTGGTCATGTCATTATTACTCCAGAATGTCTGTTATTCCAGAGGACGATTCGGACGGGATCAAACCGTGAGCAACACCTGTCAAACTCAGCCAGTTCTCTCAGAACACAGGGACGTCGATTTGCACGGGTCCAGTATTATCAGAGGACCTTGGAGTTCGCCAAAAAAACAGTAGATTATTCTGGCTGGAATTGTTGCTCTCCTGCCATGTAAAAATTACTGCCATGGCAGATTTGGACGCGACTAAAATTACAGATGTGGTGATTTGTGCTTCTGCACATAATGACATAACCCGACCTCCCCCATAACCCGACCTCCCCCATAACCCGACCTCCCCCATAACCCGACCTCCCCCAGTAAAACGAATCCTGTCCGAAGGAAGAGAACAGATGACAGCAGCAGGCCAGTGGATCACTCAGAACAGCAGCAGCCAGGGGCAACTGGGAGGATGATTTAGGTGACCCAGACACAGGCCCCAGTGTTCCCTTCACCGTTTTGGATTGCAAAACTAAAGAGACACACCAGACAAGACACAGAGACAGCAACAGAAGAATAGGAGATCTGCTGTCGGATCTGACAGTGAGTACTGTCTGCTGTGGCAGGTGGGAAGGTGCAAATGGCCTGAAAATGATCTAATCTTTCAATGTTCATCTCAAAGTGCTCCAAATTCATGCATTTTGCTGTCGAAATTCCTTATTTTTTTTTGCAAGTGGAGAATGCACGTTGGGCTGGTGTGGGCTGGCCCACGTGGGGCTGGTGTGGGCTGGCCCACGTGGGGCTGGTGTGGGCTGGCCCACGTGGGGCTGGTGTGGGCTGGCCCACGTGGGGCTGGTGTGGGCTGGCCCACGTTGGGTTGGTGGGGGCTGGCCCACGTTGGGTTGGTGTGGGTTGGGCCTGGTGTGGGTTGGGCCTGGTGTGGGCTGGCCCACGTTGGGTTGGTGTGGGTTGGGCCTGGTGTGGGTTGGGCCTGGTGTGGGCTGGCCCACGTGGGCCTGGTGTGGGTTGGGCCTGGTGTGGGCTGGCCCATGTTGGCCTGGTGTGGGTTGGGCCTGGTGTGGGCTGGCCCATGTTGGCCTGGTGTGGGCTGGGCCTGGTGTGGGCTGGCCCATGTTGGCCTGGTGTGGGTTGGGCCTGGTGTGGGCTGGCCCACGTTGGGTTGGTGTGGGCTGGTGTGGGCTGGCCCACGATGGGTTGGTGTCGGCATTAATGCAAATCTACAAAATACACAACATGAGCAGCATCAGATTAGCAAAAAATAATATAGGCCATTATCCAAACAGGTTGTCATGGTAGCTTAGTGTATTTACTTCACACTAAGTATAAAATAGCCCATTATCCAAACAGGTTGTCATGGTAGCCTAGTGTATTTACTTCACACTAAGTTTATAGCCCATTATCCAAACAGGTTGTCATGGTAGCCTAGTGTATTTACTTCACACTAAGTTTATAGCCCATTATCCAAACAGGTTGTCATGGTAGCTTAGTGTATTTACTTCACACTAAGTATAAAATAGCCCATTATCCAAACAGGTTGTCATGGTAGCCTAGTGTATTTACTTCACACTAAGTTTATAGCCCATTATCCAAACAGGTTGTCATGGTAGCCTAGTGTATTTACTTCACACTAAGTATAAAATAGCCCATTATCCAAACAGGTTGTCAATGTAGCCTAGTGTATTTACTTCACACTAAGTATAAAATAGCCCATTATCCAAACAGGTTGTCATGGTAGCCTAGTGTATTTACTTCACACTAAGTATAAAATAGCCAATTTTCCAAACAGGTTGTCATGGTAGCCTAGTGTATTCACACTGCACCACACTACACCACACTGTACTACACTGCACCACACTACACCACACTGTACTACACTACTCTACACTGCACCACACTGCACTACACTACACTACACTGCACCACACCACACTACACTGCACTGCACTACACCACACTACACTACTCTACACTGCACCTCACTGCACCACACCACACTACACCACACCACACTACACTGCACCGCACTACACTGCACCGCACCGCACCACACCACACCACACCACACCACACTACACTGCACTGCACCGCACCACACTACACCACACTGCACCGCACCACACTAAAATGCACTGCACTACACTGCACCGCACCACACCACACTGCACCGCACCACACTGCACCACACCACACCACACTGCACTGCACCGCACCACACTACACTTCACTGCACCGCACCACACCACACTGCACCGCACCACACTGCACCACACCACACTACACCACACTACACCGCACCACACTGTACTACACTACTCTACACTGCACCACACTGCACCACACCACACTACACCACACTACACTGCACCGCACTACACCACACTACACTGCACCACACTACACTACACCGCACTACACCACACTGCACCACACTACACTACACCGCACCACACCACACCACACTACACTGCACTGCACCGCACCACACTACACCGCACCACACTAAAATGCACTGCACTACACTGCACCGCACCACACCACACTGCACCGCACTACACCACACTACACTGCACCGCACCGCACTACACCACTGCACCGCACCACACTACACCGCACCACACTGCACCACACTACACCGCACCACACTGCACTGCACCACACTACGTTACACTGCACCGCACCACACTACACCGCACCACACTACACTGCACTACACTGCACCGCACCACACTACACCACACCGCACTGCACCGCACCACACCACACTACACTACACCGCACCACACCGCACCACACCGCACCACACTACTCTACACTGCACCACACCGCACTACACCGCACCACACTACACTGCACCGCACTACACCACACTACACCACACCACACTGCACCACACTACACTACACCGCACCACACCACACTGCACCACACCACACTACACTACACCACACTGCACCGCACCACACTACACTGCACTGCACCGCACCACACTGCACCGCACTGCACCACACCACACTACACCGCACCACACTACACTGCACCACACTGTACTACACCACACTACACTACACTGCACCACACTACACTACACCACACTGCACTGCACCGCACCACACTGCACCGCACCACACTGCACCACACTGTACTACACCACACTACACTACACTGCACCACACCACACTACACTACACCACACTGCACTGCACCGCACCACACTGCACCACACCACACTACACTGCACTGCACCGCACCACACTGCACCGCACCACACTACACCGCACCACACTGCACCACACTACACTACTCTACACTGCACCACACTGCACCGCACCACACCGCACCGCACCACACCACACTACACCGCACCACACCGCACCACACTACACCACACTACACTACACCGCACCACACTGCACCACACTACACTACTCTACACTGCACCAGATTGCACCACACCGCACCACACTACACTGCACCGCACTACACTGCACTACACCGCACCACACCGCACCACACTACACTGCACCACACACTACACTGCACCACACCGCACTACACCACACTACACTGCACCACACTGTACTACACTGCACTGCACTACACCACACTGTACTACACCACACTACACTGCACCACACTACACTACACTACTCTACACTGCACCACACTACACCGCACTACACTACACTGCACCACACCACACCACACTACACTACACTGCACTGCACTGCACCGCACTACACCACACTACACCGCACCACACTGTACTACACCACACTACACTACTCTACACTGCACCTCACTGCATCACACCACACAACACTACACTACACTACACTGCACCACACCACACTACACTGCACCGCACTACACTGCACCGCACCGCACCACACCACACTACACTGCACCACACTACACTGCACTGCACCGCACCACACTACACTGCACCGCACCACACTACACCGCACCACACTAAACTGCACTGCACTACACTGCACCGCACCACACTGCACCGCACCACACTACACTTCACTGCACCGCACCACACTGCACCACACTGCACCACACCACACTACACCGCACCACACTGTACTACACCACACTACACTACTCTACACTGCACCACACTGCACCACACCACACCGCACCACACTACACCGCACCACACTGCACCACACTACACTACACCGCACCACACCGCACTACACCACACTACACTGCACCACACTACACTGCACCACACTACACCACACCACACTACACCACACTACACCACACTACACTGCACCACACCACACTGCACCACACTACACCGCACCACACTACACTGCACCGCACCACACTACACTACACTACACTGCACCGCACCACACTACACTGCACTGCACCGCACCACACTACACCGCACCACACTACACTGCACTGCACCACACTACACTGCACCACACTACACCACACCGCACTGCACCGCACCGCACCACACTACACTACACCGCACCACACTGCACCACACTACACTACACTACACCGCACCACACTAAACTGCACTGCACCACACTGCACCACACTGCACCGCACCACACTACACTTCACTGCACCGCACCACACTGCACCACACCACACTACACCACACTACACCGCACCACACTGTACTACACCACACTACACTACTCTACACTGCACCACACCACACTACACCGCACCACACTACACTGCACCGCACCACACTGCACCACACTACACTACACCGCACCACACCGCACTACACCACACTACACTGCACCACACTACACTGCACCACACTACACTGCACCACACTGCACCACACTGCACCACACTGCACCACACCACACTACACCACACTACACCACACTACACTGCACCACACTGCACCACACTACACCGCACCACACTACACTGCACCGCACCACACTACACTGCACCGCACCACACTACACTGCACTGCACCGCACCACACTACACCGCACCACACTGCACTGCACCACACTACATTACACTGCACCACACTACACCGCACCACACAACACCGCACCACACTACACTGCACCACACTACACCACACCGCACTGCACCGCACCGCACCACACTACACTACACCGCACCACACTGCACCACACTACACTACACTACTCTACACTGCACCACACTGCACCACACCACACCGCACCACACTGCACCACACTACACTACACTGCACCACACCACACTGCACTGCACCACACTGCACCACACTACACCGCACCACACTACACTGCACCACACTGTACTACACCACACTACACTACTCTACACTGCACCACACTGCACCACACTGCACCACACTGCACTACACCACACTACACTGCACCGCACCACACCACACTACACCGCACCACACTACACCGCACCACACTGCACCACACCACACTACACACCACACTGCACTGCACCACACTACACTGCACCACACTACACTACACTGCACCACACCGCACTGCACCACACCACACTACACTGCACCACACTGCACCACACCACACTGCACTGCACCACACTACACCACACCACACTACACCACACCGCACTATACCACACTACACCACACCACACTGCACTGCACTGCACCACACTACACTACACCACACCACACTGCACTACACCACACTGCACCACACCGCACTATACCACACTACACTACACCACACTGCACTACACTACACCGCACCACACCACACTGCACCACACTGCACCTGACTACACTGCACTACACCACACCACACTACACCACACTACACCACACTACACCACACTGCACCACACTACACCACACTACACCACACCACACTACACCACATCATGGAATTCTAAAGACTTTTAGGGGCGGGTTCACGGACATAGAGCCTAATCCTAGACTAAATTGCACTTTTAAACTGGACTAACTGAAATGGCATTTCTCAGTCATGGTTTAAAATAGTGTCAGACTTGCCCTATCTAGATTTAAAAAGTTTGATTTCCAGAAGGATGATTAGAGCTAATCTAGATCTAAATGAAGGCTTAAAGTGAAGGCTAAAACTGGCACTTTCACTGAAACGTTGATTAAATCAAATCAAATCAAATTGTATTGGCCACATGCGCCGAATACAACAGGTGCAGACATTACAGTGAAATGCTTACTTACAGCCCTTAACCAACAGTGCATTTATTTTTAACAAAAAAAGTAAAAATAAAACGACAACAAAAAAAGTGTTGAGAAAAAAAAGAGCAGAAGTAAAATAAAATAACAGTAGGGAGGCTATATATACAGTAAAATAAAGTGACAGTAGGGAGGCTATATATACAGTAAAATAAAATAACAGTAGGGAGGCTATATATACAGGGGGGTACCGGTGCAGAGTCAATGTGCGGGGGCACCGACTAGTTGAGGTAGTTGAAGTAATATGTACATGTGGGTAGAGTTAAAGTGACTATGCATAAATAATTAACAGAGTAGCAGCAGCGTAAAAGGATGGGGTGGGGGTGGGGGGGGGCAGTGCAAATAGTCCGGGTAGCCATGATTAGCTGTTCAGGAGTCTTATGGCTTGGGGGTAGAAGCTGTTGAGAAGTCTTTTGGACCTAGACTTGGCACTCCGGTACCGCTTGCCGTGCGGTAGCAGAGAGAACAGTCTATGACTAGGGTGGCTGGAGTCTTTGACAATTTTGAGGGCCTTCCTCTGACACCGCCTGGTATAGAGGTCCTGGATGGCAGGAAGCTTGGCCCCAGTGATGTACTGGGCCGTACGCACTACCCTCTGTAGTGCCTTGCGGTCGGAGGCCAAGCAGTTGCCATACCAGGCGGTGATGCAACCAGTCAGGATGCTCTCGATGGTGCAGCTGTAGAATTTTTTGAGGATCTGAGGACCCATGCCAAATCTTTTCAGTCTCCTGAGGGGGAATAGGCTTTGTCATGCCCTCTTCACGACTGTCTTGGTGTGTTTGGACCATGATAGTTCGTTGGTGATGTGGACACCAAGGAACTTGAAGCTCTCAACCTGTTCCACTACAGCCCCGTCGATGAGAATGGGGGCGTGCTCAGTCCTCTTTGCACTGTCCCTGTAAAATGTGTAATGTCTGTTTTTGTAGTTTATTCCAGGGGTTCACAAACTTTTTTGGCCCACGACCCCATTTTGATATCTGAAAATTCTCATGACCCCAACCATATGAAAACAATTATGTAATTAACAGCCAATGTTTACTTTTTTATTTGAGGCTATGGCAGTCAATTTCAAATGAGTCTGACATAATGTATCTCATCTCACCACCACTAATGAGATGGGTGTGGCTTGATGCATGTCACATCTGAGCTTCTCAAAGTCGGGGCGTGGTCGACAGTGCACACCTCATATCTGCTGTCACATCCAACCTGGATCTATATTTGGTTTAAATGCAGACGAGAGCACTGAATCCAACTTCATACAGATATGAGCTGGCGAAGGCTACCATGAGTTTTATGATGCGTTCAAGACAACTGGGAACTCTGAAAAATACGAGGTAAATCATGACGTCAGCGATCATCAGCTCGGAAAGTCAGAGCTCTAGAAAAAGGCCAGAGTTCCCGATTTGGAATTCCGAGTTGGGTGACTGTTCAAAACAAATTTTCGCAGTCGGAACTCGTTTCTTTCCAAGTTCCCAGTTGTCTTGAACGCACTGAGGTCAGAAGTCTGAGATTTCTGAGTTCCTAGTTCCCAGTTGTTCTGAACGCGGCATTGATGCTCAGAGGCAGACGGAATGGTATTCCCTTTTAGTCAAGAACCAAAACGCCTCTGTAGTGACCCGTGAATGCATTCGGTCACATGACAGCTCGATCAGCTGTTCGATTTCACTTACCGGCATGTCAACTGAGCCAGGAGCACAGTCAAACGGATTGGGAAGTAGGGCCGTCCCAAAGTACTCTTCCAAACGTTGGAGGTGAGCAGTCGTCACTCGTGTAGGACACTTACTGATGCTGTTTTCTGTTAGAAACAGTCACAGCCGAGGGAAGGGTGCATGGTTCTCTTTTGAAAGACTCTACAATAAGAATGATTTCCTCTGAATCCACTGATTCGGTCACTCATCTGAAGAATGTTTTCGTATTTCCCCTGCATGCTTGTGTTCAGTTCGTTCAGTTTCCCAAATAAATGTGTCTGTTACAAGGAGACACATTTTATTTTCATTACACTGAAAGTCAACCAAGTCTGTTTTCTTTACATCCATTGTGAATGACAACAGTTTCTCTCTCAACGCGAAACATATTTCTAACACTCCCCCGATAACCACCAAGCTTCGGTGTGAAATAGGACATCGTCATGCGCTGATCCCATATCTCCACATGCTGTATCACTCCATAGTACAGTCATAGAAATAGCATCCAGTCAGTGGTTATTATAATACAGAGAATATATCACTCCATAGTACAGTCATAGAAATAGCATCCAGTCAGTGGTTATTATAATACAGAGAATATATCACTCCATAGTACAGTCATAGAAATAGCATCCAGTCAGTGGTTATTATAATACAGAGAATATATCACTCCATAGTACAGTCATAGAAATAGCATCCAGTCAGTGGTTATTATAATACAGAGAATATATCACTCCATAGTACAGTCATCAACCACGTTTCCATCCACAGTTTTATGCGAGTAGTCATAATGTATAAAAAAAACTTAAGAAGACAGCTGTGATGGAAACAGAATTTCCCAAATGTAATTATATAGAGAGAGATAGAGCGAGCCCTTAGATAATGGGAAAAGGCGCACTTGACCGTTGCACATGAATCATTCCCACGGTGAATGGCTATGCCCGCTACGCTATGAAACCACAGTATTGCAGAGACTTTGATATTACCGGACGCAATTGATATGGTAAAAACAATGTGTGGGGAGGCAGAGGCACAGAAACTCACATCAATACCTTTGTCAGATAACACTGTTAAACAAAGAATGTATGTTATTGCTCGCAATCAAGAGGAAACTGACTGAATGACTCAAACTCCCCACCTTATGCTCTCTAAATGGACGTTAGTTGTGAGGGCCGAGATGCCCATTTATTGACTTTTGTTCACTATACATGTCGGGGGATGCTATTTAATAATAATATGCCATTTAGCAGACGCTTTTATCTTACAGTCATCTGTGCATATATAACAGTGTTGCTTCTGTCCCTCTCCTCGCCCCTACCTGGGATCGAACCAGGGACCCTCTGCACACATCGACAACAGTCACCCTCGAAGCACCGTTACCCGTCGCTCCACAAAAGCCCTGCAGAGCAAGGGAAACAACTACTTCAAGGTCTCAGAGCGAGTGGCGTCACCGATTGAAACGCTACTAGCGCGCACCGCTAACTAGCTAGCCATTTCACACCGGTTACACATACATTTTTACTTATGGGTGGTCCCGGGGATCGAACCCACAACCCTGGCGTTACAAGCGCCATGCTCTACCAATTGAGCTACAGAGGACATATTCTTCTGTCTCACGATTCCTGAGCATGAAACGTCATATGGGATATTCACTGTACTCCGTGGCTATATTGACGAAAAACAGATTCCATATGGGATGGAATGGTGGGCTTTTGCACAGATGGGGCTCCATCTATGGTGGGACGGCGGGCAGGCCTCTGGACTAGTTACGAATACGTCTCCCTCTGCCATATGGACGCATTGTATGATACACCGAGAACAACTAGCAGCAAAAGAGCTGAGCACAGAACTCAGAGATATACTGCAAAAGGTAACTTAGATTGTAAACTACATCAAACCACATCCACTGTGCGCACGCATGTTCACAAAACTACACGACCAAAAGTATGTGGACACCTGCTCGTCGAACATCTCATTCCAAAATCATGGGCATTGATATGGAGTTGGTCCCCTCTTTGCTGCTATAACAGCCTCCACTCTTCTGGGAAGGCTTTCCACTAGATGTTGGAACATTGCTGCGGGGACTTGTTTCCATTCAACCACAAGAGCATTAGTGAGGTCGGGCACTGATGTTGGACGATTAGGCCTGGCTCGCAGTCAGCATCCAAAGGTGTTCGATGCGGGTTGAGGTCAGGGCTCTGTGCGATGATCTTAGGCTTGTGTGTGGCTGCTCAGCCATGGAAACCCATTTCATAAAGGTCCCGATGAACAGTTCTTGTGCTGACGTTGCTTCCAGAGGGAGTTTGGAACTCAGTTGTGAGTGTTGCAACCGAGGACAGGCAATTTTTACGTGCTTCAGCACTCGGCGGTCCCGTTCTGTGAGCTTGCGTGGCCTACCACTTCGTGGCTGAGCCGTTGTTGCTCCTAGACGTTTCCACTTCACAATAACAGCACTTACAGTTGACCGGGGCAGCTCTAGCAGGGCAGAAATTTGACAAGCTGACTTGTTGGAAAGGTGGCATCCTATGATTGTGCCACGTCGAAAGCTCTTCAGTACGGGCCATTCTACTGCCAGTGATTGTCGATGGAGATTGCATGGCTGTGTGCTCGATTTTATACACCTGTCAGCAACCGGTGTGGCTGAAATAGAATCCACTAATTTGAAGGGGTGTCCACATACTGCTGTATATACAGTGTAAGTTCCTGTTCTAAGGTTCTAATAGGTTGTGCAGAACAGATGATCATTGTTCCTTTAATAAATGCATGGTGTTTGCCACTGCGTTTATAGTAGTTTCAAATACCAAACATGAGGTTAACATGCTTTGTATCCCATAGAACGGTCATATCTTCCTTAGTTAAACTTAGCCGTTCTGTTTAGTTAAGACTGATTTCCACTCAACTAAGGTCATTTGAAAAAAATACGCTAATGTGCCATCAGATGTAGCAGTCCAAAGTGCAGCTATCCTTCCAGCTCCCCAGCAGGACTTCACTATGTAGTAGTCCAAAGTGCAGCTATCCTTCCAGCTGCCCAGCAGGACTTCACTATGTAGTAGTCCAAAGTGCAGCTATCCTTCCAGCTGCCCAGCAGGCTTCACTATGTAGTGTCCAAAGTGCAGCTATCCTTCCCGCCCCAGCAGGACTTCCTATGTTAGTAGTCCAAAATGCAGCTATCCTTCCGCTGCCCGGCAGGACTTCACTATGTATAGTCCAAAGTGCAGCTATCCTTCCAGCTCCCCAGCAGGACTTCACTATGTAGTAGTCCAAAGTGCAGCTTCCTTCCAGCTCCCCAGCAGGACTTTACTATGTAGTAGTCCAAGTGCAGCCATCCTTCCAGCTCCCCAGCAGGACTTCACTATGAGTATCCCAAAATGCAGCTATCCTTCAGCTGCCCGGCAGGACTTCACTATGTAGTAGTCCCAAAGTGCAGCCATCCTTCCAGCTGCCCACAGGACTTCACTATGTAGTAGTCCAAAGTGCAGCTATCCTTCCAGCTCCCCAGCAGGACTTCACTATGTAGTAGTCCAAAGTGCAGCTATCCTTCCAGCTCCCCGCAGGACTTCACTATGTAGTAGTCCAAAGTGCAGCTATCCTTCCAGCTCCCCCGCAGATTCCTATTAGTATCCAAGTGCACTACCTTTCCCCCCGCAGACTTTATATGTAGTAGTCCAAAGTGCAGCTATCCTTCCAGCTCCCCAGCAGGACTTCACTATGTAGTAGTCCAAAATCAGCTATCCTTCCAGCTCCCCAGCAGACTTCACTATGTAGTAGTCCAAAGTGCAGCTATCCTTCCAGCTCCCAGCAGGACTTCAAATATGGGAGTAGTCCAATGCAGCTATCCTTCCAGCTCCCCAGCAGGATTCACTATGTAGTAGTCCAAAGTGCAGCTATCCTTCCACTCCCAGCAGGACTTCACTATGTAGTAGTCCAAAGTGCAGCTATCCTTCCAGCTCCCCAGCAGGACTTCACTATGTAGTAGTCCAAAGTGCAGCTATCCTTCCCAGCTCCCAGCAGGGCTTCACATGTAGTAGTCCCCAAAATGCAGCTATCCTTCCAGCTCCCCAGCAGGACTTCCTATGTAGTAGTCCAAAGTGCAGCTATCCTTCCAGCTCCCCAGCAGGACTTCACTATGTAGTAGTCCAAAGTGCAGCTATCCTTCCAGCCCCCGCAGGACTTCAAATATGTAGTAGTCCAAAGTGCAGCTATCCTTCCAGCTCCCCAGCAGGACTTCACTATTTATAGTCCAAAGTGCAGCTATCCTTCCAGCTCCCCAGCAGGACTTCACATGTAGTAGTCCAAAGTGCAGCTATCCTTCCAGCTCCCCGGCGAACTTCACTATGTGTAGTCCAAAGTGCAGCTATCCTTCCAGCCTCCCAGCAGGACTTTACTATGTAGTAGTCCAAAATGCAGCTATCCTTCCAGTCCCCGGCAGGGCTTCACTATGTAGTAGTCCAAAGTGCAGCTATCCTTCCAGCTCCCCAGCAGGACTTCACTATGTAGTAGTCCAAAGTGCAGCTATCCTCCAGCTCCCCGGCAGGACTTCACTATGTAGTAGTCCAAAATGCAGCTTTTCCTTCCAGCTCCCCGGGAGGACTTCACTATGTAGTAGTCCAAAGTGCAGCTATCCTTCCAGCTCCCCGCAGGGTTCACTATGTGTAGTCCAAAGTGCAGCTATCCTTCCAGCTGCCCGGAGGACTTCACTATGTAGCATCCAAATGGGAGCTATCCTTCCAGCTCCCGGCAGGACTTTACTAGTAGTAGTCCCAAAATGCAGCTATCCTTCCAGCTCCCCAGCAGGACTTTTACTATGTAGTAGTCCAAAGTGCAGCTATCCTTCCAGCTCCCCGGCGGGCTTCACTATGTAGTAGTCCAAAGTGCAGCTATCCTTCCACTCCCCAGCAGGACTTCACTATGTGAGTCCAAAGTGCAGCTATCCTTCCAGCTCCCCAGCAGGACTTCACTATTGTGTAGTCCAAAATGCAGCATCCTTCCAGCTCCCCACGGACTTCACTATGTAGTAGTCCAAAGGCAGCTATCCTTCCCGCTCCACGGCAGGACTTCACTAGTAGTAGTCCAAGTGCAGCTATCCTTCCACTGCCCACAGGATCACTATGTAGCAGTCCCCCAAGTGCAGCTATCCTCCAGCGTCCCCGGCAGGGCTTCATATGTAGTAGTCCAAGTGCAGCTATCCTGCCAGCTGCCCAGCAGGACTTCACTATGTAGTAGTCCAAAGTGCAGCTATCCTTCCAGCTCCCCAGCAGGACTTCACTAGTAGTAGTCCCAAAGTGCAGCTATCCTTCCAGCTCCCCAGCAGGACTCACTATGTAGTAGTCCCAAAATGCAGCTATCCTTCCAGCTCCCCAGCAGGACTTCACTATGTAGAGTCCCAAAATGCAGCTATCCTTCCAGCTCCCAGCAGGACCCTTTACTATGTAGTAGTCCCCAAAAAGCAGCTATCCTTCCAGCTCCCCAGCGGCTTCACTATGTAGTAGTCCAAAGTGCAGCTATCCTTCCGCTCCCCAGCAGGACTTCACTATGTAGTAGTCCAAAGTGCAGCTATCCTTCCAGCTCCCGCAGGACTTCACTATGTTAGTAGTCCAAAGTGCAGCTATCCTTCCAGCTCCCCGGCAGGACTTCACTATGTAGTAGTCCAAAGTGCAGCTATCCTTCCAGCTCCCCAGCAGGACTTCACTATGTAGTAGTCCAAAGTGCAGCTATCCTTCCAGCCTACCCCAATTAGGTCCAAGGCAGCTATCCTTCAGCTCCCCAGCAGGACTTCACTATGTAGTAGTCCAAAGTGCAGCTATCCTTCCAGCTGCCCCAGCAGGACTTCACTATGTAGTAGTCCAAAGTGCAGCTATCCTTCCAGCTCCCCGGCAGGACTTCACTATGTAGTAGTCCAAAGTGCAGCTATCCTTCCAGCTCCCCAGCAGTACTTCACTATGTAGTAGTCCAAAGTGCAGCTATCCTTCCAGCTCCCCGGCAGGACTTCACTATGTAGTAGTCCAAAGTGCAGCTATCCTTCCAGCTCCCCGGCAGGACTTCACTATGTAGTAGTCCAAAGTGCAGCTATCCTTCCAGCTCCCCAGCAGGACTTCACTATGTAGTAGTCCAAAGTGCAGCTATCCTTCCAGCTCCCCAGCAGGACTTCACTATGTAGTAGTCCAAAGTGCAGCTATCCTTCCAGCTGCCCGGCAGGACTTCACTATGTAGTAGTCCAAAGTGCAGCTATCCTTCCAGCTCCCCGGCAGGACTTCACTATGTAGTAGTCCAAAGTGCAGCTATCCTTCCAGCTCCCTAGCAGGGACTTCACTATGTAGTAGTCCAAAGTGCAGCTATCCTTCCAGCTCCCCAGCAGGACTTCACTATGTAGTAGTCCAAAGTGCAGCTATCCTTCCAGCTGCCCGGCAGGACTTCACTATGTAGTAGTCCAAAGTGCAGCTATCCTTCCAGCTCCCCGGCAGGACTTCACTATGTAGTAGTCCAAAGTGCAGCTATCCTTCCAGCTCCCTAGCAGGACTTCACTATGTAGTAGTCCAAAGTGCAGCTATCCTTCCAGCTCCCCAGCAGGACTTCACTATGTAGTAGTCCAAAGTGCAGCTATCCTTCCAGCTGCCCGGCAGGACTTCACTATGTAGTAGTCCAAAGTGCAGCTATCCTTCCAGCTCCCCGGCAGGACTTCACTATGTAGTAGTCCAAAGTGCAGCTATCCTTCCAGCTCCCCGGCAGGACTTCACTATGTAGTAGTCCAAAGTGCAGCTATCCTTCCAGCTCCCCGGCAGGACTTCACTATGTAGTAGTCCAAAGTGCAGCTATCCTTCCAGCTGCCCGGCAGGACTTCACTATGTAGTAGTCCAAAGTGCAGCTATCCTTCCAGCTGCCCGGCAGGACTTCACTATGTAGTAGTCCAAAGTGCAGCCATCCTTCCAGCTGCCCAGCAGGACTTCACTATGTAGTAGTCCCAAAGTGCAGCTATCCTTCCAGCTGCCCCAGCAGGACTTCACTATGTAGTAGTCCCAAGTGCAGCTATCCTTCCAGCTGCCCAGCAGGACTTCACTATGTAGTAGTCCCAAGTGCAGCTATCCTTCCAGCTCCCCGGCAGGACTTCACTATGTAGTAGTCCAAAGTGCAGCTATCCTTCCAGCTCCCCGGCAGGACTTCACTATGTAGTAGTCCAAAGTGCAGCTATCCTTCCAGCTCCCCAGCAGGACTTCACTATGTAGTAGTCCAAAGTGCAGCTATCCTTCCAGCTCCCCAGCAGGACTTCACTATGTAGTAGTCCAAAGTGCAGCTATCCTTCCAGCTCCCCAGCAGGACTTCACTATGTAGTAGTCCAAGTGCAGCTATCCTTCCAGCTCCCAGCAGGACTTCACTATGTAGTAGTCCAAGTGCAGCTATCCTTCCAGCTCCCAGCAGGCTTCACTAGTAGTAGTCCAAAGTGCAGCTATCCTTCCAGCTCCCCAGCAGGACTTCACTATGTAGTAGTCCAAGTGCAGCTATCCTTCAGCTCCCCAGCAGGACTTCACTATGTAGTAGTCCAAAGTGCAGCTATCCTTCCAGCTCCCCCGCAGGACTTCACTATGTAGTAGTCCAAAGTGCAGCTATCCTTCCAGCTCCCCAGAGGACTTTTACTATGTATAGTCCAAAGTGGGAGCTATCCTTCAGCTCCCCAGCAGGACTTCACTATGTAGTAGTCCAAAGTGCAGCTATCCTTCCAGCTCCCAGCAGGACTTCACTATGTAGTAGTCCAAAGTGCAGCTTTTCCTTCCAGCTCCCCCGCAGGCTTCACTATGTAGTAGTCCAAAGTGCAGCTATCCTTCCAGCTGCCCGGCAGGACTTCACTATGTAGTAGTCCAAAGTGCAGCTATCCTTCCAGCTCCCCGGCAGGACTCACTATGTAGTAGTCCAAAAGGGGAGCTATCCTTCCAGCTCCCCGGCAGGACTTCACTATGTAGTAGTCCCAAAATGCAGCTATCCTTCCAGCTCCCCGGCAGGACTTCACTATGTAGTAGTCCAAAGTGCAGCTATCCTTCCAGCTGCCCGGCAGGACTTCAATATGTAGTAGTCCAAAGGCAGCTATCCTTCCCGCTGCCGGCAGGACTTCACTATGTAGTAGTCCAAGTGGCAGCTATCCTTCCAGCTCCCCCGGCAGGACTTCACTATGTAGTAGTCCAAAGTGCAGCTATCCTTCCAGCTCCCAGCAGGACTTCACTATGTAGTAGTCCAAAGTGCAGCTATCCTTCCAGCTCCCCAGCAGGACTTCACTATGTATTAGTCCAAAGTGCAGCTATCCTTCCAGCCTCCCCAGCAGGACTTCACTATGTAGTAGTCCAAAGTGCAGCTATCCTTCCAGCTCCCCGCAGGACTTCACTATGTAGTAGTCCAAAGTGCAGCTATCCTTTCCAGCTCCCCAAGCAGGACTTCACTATGTAGTAGTCCAAAGTGCAGCTATCCTTCCAGCTCCCCACAGGACTTCACTATGAGTAGTCCAAAAGTGCAGCTATCCTTCCAGCTCCCCAGCAGGAACTTCACTATGTAGTAGTCCAAAGTGCAGCTATCCTTCCGCCCCAGCAGGAATTACTATGTAGGAGTTCCAAAGTGCAGCTATCCTTCCAGCTCCCGGCAGGACTTCCACTATGTAGTAGTCCAAAGTGCAGCTATCCTTCCAGCTCCCTAGGCAGGACTTCACTATGTAGTAGTCCAAAGTGGCAGCTATCCTTCCAGCTCCCCGCAGGACTTCACTATGTAGTAAGTCCAAAGTGCAGCTATCCTTCCAGCTGCCCGGCCAGGACTTCACTATGTAGTAGTCCAAAGTGCAGCTATCCTTCCAGCTCCCCGGCAGGACTTCACTATGTAGTAGTCCAAAGTGCAGCTATCCTTCCAGCTCCCCGGCAGGACTTCACTATGTAGTAGTCCAAAGTGCAGCTATCCTTCCAGCTCCCGCAGGACTTCACTATGTAGTAGTCCAAAGTGCAGCTATCCTTCCAGCTGCCCGGCAGGACTTCACCTATGTAGTAGTCCAAAGTGCAGCTATCCTTCCAGCTGCCCGGCAGGACTTCACTATGTAGTAGTCCAAAGTGCAGCCATCCTCCAGCTGCCCAGCAGGACTTCACTATGTAGTAGTCCAAAGTGCAGCTATCCTTCCAGCTGCCCAGCAGGACTTCACTATGTAGTAGTCCCAAGTGCAGCTATCCTTCCAGCTGCCCAGCAGGACTTCACTATGTAGTTAGTCCCAAGTGCAGCTATCCTTCCAGCTCCCGCAGGACTTCACTATGTAGTAGTCCAAAAGTGCAAGCTATCCTTCCAGCTCCCTAGCAGGACTTCACTATGTAGTAGTCCAAAGTGCAGCTATCCTTCCAGCTCCCCGGCAGGACTTCACTATGTAGTAGTCCAAAGTGCAGCTATCCTTCCAGCTCCCCAGCAGGACTTCACTATGTAGTAGTCCAAGTGCAGATATCCTTCCAGCTCCCCAGCAGGACTTCATATGTAGTAGTCCAAAGTGCAGCTATCCTTCCAGCTCCCCAGCAGGACTTCACTATGTAGTAGTCCAAAGTGCAGCTATCCTTCCAGCTCCCCAGCAGGACTTCACTATGTAGTAGTCCAAAGTGCAGCTATCCTTCCAGCTCCCCAGCAGGACTTCACTATGTAGTAGTCCAAAGTGCAGCTATCCTTCCAGCTCCCCAGCAGGACTTCACTAATGTTAGTAGTCCAAAGTGGCAGCTATCCTTCCAAGCTGCCCCGGCAGGACTTCACTAAGTAGTAGTCCAAAGTTGCAGCTATCCTTCCAGCTCCCCGGCAGGACTTCACTATGTAGTAGTCCAAAAGTGCAGCTATCCTTCCAGCTCCCCCGGCAGGACTTCACTATGTAGTAGTCCAAAGTGCAGCTATCCTTCCAGCTTCCCCGGCAGGACTTCACTATGTAGTAGTCCAAAGTGCAAGCTATCCTTCCAGCTGCCCGGCAGGACTTCACTATGTAGTAGTCCAAAGTGCAGCTATCCTTCCAGCTGCCCGGCAGGACTTCACTATGTAGTAGTCCAAAGTGCAGCCATCCTTCCAGCTGCCCAGCAGGACTTCACTATGTAGTAGTCCAAAGTGCAGCTATCCTTCCAGCTGCCCAGCAGGACTTCACTATGTAGTAGTCCCAAGTGCAGCTATCCTTCCAGCTGCCCAGCAGGACTTCACTATGTAGTAGTCCCAAGTGCAGCTATCCTTCCAGCTCCCCGGCAGGACTTCACTATGTAGTAGTCCAAAAGTGCAGCTATCCTTCCAGCTCCCTAGCAGGACTTCATTATGTAGGTCCAAAGTGCAGCTATCCTTCCAGCTCCCCAGCAGGACTTCACTATGTAGTAGTCCAAAGTGCAGCATCCTTCCAGCTCCCCAGCAGGACTTCACTATGTAGTAGTCCAAAGTTGCAGCTATCCTTCCAGCTCCCCGGCAGGACTTCAACTATGTAGTAGTCCAAAGTGCAGCTATCCTTCCAGCTGCCCGGCAGGACTTCACTATGTTAGTAGTCCAAAGTGCAGCTATCCTTCCAGCTCCCCAGCAGGACTTCACTATGTAGTAGTCCAAAGTGCAGCTATCCTTCCAGCTCCCCAGCAGGACTTCACTATGTAGTAGTCCAAAGTGCAGCTATCCTTCCAGCTCCCCAGCAGGACTTCACTATGTAGTAGTCCAAAGTGCAGCTATCCTTCCAGCTCCCGGCAGAACTTCACTATGTAGTAGTCCAAAGTGCAGCTATCTTCCAGCTGCCCGGCAGGACTTCACTATGTAGTAGTCCAAAGTGCAGCTATCCTTCCAGCTGCCCGGCAGGACTTCACTATGTAGTAGTCCAAAGTGCAGCTATCCTTCCAGCTGCCCGGCAGGACTTCACTATGTAGTAGTCCAAAGTGCAGCTATCCTTCCAGCTCCCCAGCAGGACTTCACTATGTAGTAGTCCAAAGTGCAGCTATCCTTTCCAGCTCCACCAGCAGGACTTCACTATGTAGTAGTCCAAAGTGCAGCTATCCTTCCAGCTCCCCAGCAGGACTTCACTATGTAGTAGTCCAAAGTGCAGCTATCCTTCCAGCTCCCCGGCAGAACTTCACTATGTAGTAGTCCAAAGTGCAGCTATCCTTCCAGCTGCCCGGGCAGGACTTCACTATGTAGTAGTCCAAGTGCAGCTATCCTTCCAGCTGCCCGGCAGGACTTCACTATGTAGTAGTCCAAAGTGCAGCTATCCTTCCAGCTGCCCGGCGGAACTTCCACTATGTAGTAGTCCAAAGTGCAGCTATCCTTCCAGCTCCCCGGCAGGACTTCACTATGTAGTAGTCCAAAAGTGCAGCTATCCTTCCAGCTCCCCAAGCAGGACTTCACTATGTAGTAGTCCAAAGTGCAGCTATCTCCTTCCAGCTCCCCAGCAGGACTTCACTATGTAGTAGTCCAAAGTGCAGCTATCCTTCCAGCTCCCCAGCAGGACTTCACTATGTAGTAGTCCAAAGTGCAGCTATCCTTCCAGCTCCCCAGCAGGACTTCACTATGTAGTAGTCCAAAGTGCAGCTATCCTTCAGTCCCCAGCGACTTCACTGTAGTATAGTCCAAAAGTGTCAGCTATCCTTCCAGCTCCCCAGCAGACTTCACTATGTAGTAGTCCAAAGTGCAGCTATCCTTCCAGCTCCACGGCAGGGACTTCACTATGTAGTAGTCCAAAGTGCAGCTATCCTTCCAGCTGCCCGGCAGGACTTCACTATGGTAGTAGTCCAAAGTGCAGCTATCCTTCCAGCTGCCCGGCAGGACTTCACTATGTAGTAGTCCCCAAAGTGCAGCCATCCTTCCAAGCTGCCCAGCAGGACCTTCACTATTGTATAGTCCAAAGTGCAGCCATCCTTCCAGCTGCCCAGCAGGACTTCACTATGTAGTAGTCCCAAGTGCAGCTATCCTTCCAGCTCCCCAGCAGGACTTCACTATGTAGTAGTCCAAAGTGCAGCTATCCTTCCAGCTCCCCGGCAGGACTTCACTATGTAGTAGTCCAAAGTGCAGCTATCCTTCCAGCTCCCCGGCAGGACTTCACTATGTAGTAGTCCAAAGTGCAGCTATCCTTCCAGCTCCCCAGCAGGACTTCACTATGGTAGTAGTCCAAAGTGCAGCTATCCTTCAGCTCCCCGGCAGGACTTCACTATGTAGTAGTCCAAAGTGCAGCTATCCTTCCAGCTCCCCGGCAGGTACTTCACTATGTAGTAGTCCAAAGTGCAGCTATCCTTCCAGCTCCCCAGCAGGACTTCACTATGTGTAGTCAAAGTGCAGCTATCCTTCCAGCTCCCCCGGCAGGACTTCACTATGTAGTAGTCCAAAGTGCAGCTATCCTTCCAGCTCCCCAGTCAGACTTCACTATGTAGTGTCCAAAGTGCAGCTATCCTTCCAGCTCCCCGGCAGGACTTCACTATGTAGTAGTCCAAAGTGCAGCTATCCTTCCAGCTCCCCGGCAGGACTTCACTATGTAGTAGTCCAAAGTGCAGCTATCCTTCCAGCTCCCCAGCAGGACTTCACTATGTAGTAGTCCAAAAGTGCAGCTATCTTCCAGCTGCCCGGCAGGACTTCACTATGTAGCAATCCAAAGTGCAGCTATCCTTCCAGCTGCCCGGCAGGACTTCACTATGTAGTCATCCAAAGTGCAGCTATCCTTCCAGCTGCCCAGCAGGACTTCACTATGTAGTAGTCCAAAGTGCAGCTATCCTTCCAGCTCCCGGCAGGGCTTCACTATGTAGTAATCAAGTGCAGCTATCCTTCCAGCTGCCAGCAGGACTTCACTATGTAGTAGTCCAAAGTGCAGCTATCCTTCCAGCTCCCCAGCAGGACTTCACTATGTAGTAGTCCAAAGTGCCAGGATCCTTCCCCCATCCTTCCAGCTCCCCAGCAGGACTTCACTATGTAGTAGTCCAAAGTGCAGCTATCCTTCCAGCTCCCCAGCAGGACTTCACTATTAAATCACTTCTACTTGGTGCCCCCTACTGTGCTTATTGGGGACTACACATTGGGTATCAGCTGGCATCATGTCTTCCACCCCTGTTGATGACAACTTCCACCAATACGACAAAGATGACAACATCCAACAATATTTTTAGGAGTTTAATTCAAGCAAGCAAAGGTCAAGGTACATTTCACAACGCTGGGTTTTCAACATCCTGGCCGCGTAAATCCCCCACGGGGGGCCAGTATGAAAATGGATGCACTCACTAACTGTAAGTTGCTCTGGATAAGAGCGTCTGCTAATGGACTAAAATGTAAAATGTAAATGTAAATTGATACATGTAAAATAAAACACCAGACGGGAATGCTTTCAGGAAGCCTTAATTCCATCATATGGAATGACCTTTAAACACTTAACATGTTTATTTTGAACCTTTTTACAAAGCCTAGTTTGCTCTTCTCTAGGCCCGGCTGATAAGAGGACTTTCCTTTTTATAACATGTTGTTTTCTTCCTTTTTGCATTGTTTTGGTGTTTTAACTTTTTGATAACGTTTAATCAGAATTATTATTATCGGTGAAGCAAGTTCCAAGGTTCCCAATCCCTGTGAAGACAGAAAAAGCATTCAGTCATGATCGTAGGTATATAACAAGTGTTTGAACATAAGATGACTGATGTATTATGCTGAGTCTAATGCTAGACCTGAGACTGGCCTACCTTGGCTTAGACACTTGGACCACCAGCAGATAGACCTGAGACTGGCCTACCTTGGCTTAGACACTTGGACCACCAGCAGAGTTGTTGACAGTCTTCTGGACTAATTCCTTGGCCTGGTGGGCCTGCAGCACAGCAACAGCCTCATCCACCTACCAGCAACACCATCAACCAGGTTAATAACAGCATGCATCACGTATTACCACAGCTACAAACTAACCTGTACACTACACCATTTGCAGTACGACTCATTTAAAATCTAGACATTTATTTGCCTGAACAACAAAATTGAAATGCCGTCAGGGCTACACTTGTTTTGTTTTTATGAAAAGCAAGCAGTTTCCTCAAATGCTATGACTACTTGGGCTCGCCGGGCTTCATGGAATTTCTCCGGGTCTTTTTCACAGGTTGGTGACACATTCTGGTCAGGGAGCAGAACTGACCTTCGAGCGGAGAGACTCCGGAGACTCCAGCATGTGAAGCAGCTCAGAGTTGTCGATCTCCAGCAGCATGCCGGTGATCTTCCCAGCCAGGCTGGGATGCATGTTCTGGATGCACGGGAACAGGCGCTCACCTGGGGACAAACAGGGTTTTAGTGTCCTAGCTCAGAAACAGGACGGAGATTGACAGTGTATTGTGGTGGGTTGAATGGCTGTTAACATCTAACAGACAAGACGGTTTTGTGCAGTTTTATAACACAGTTTGCTTGATCTGAACGGTCTAGTTTTAAAATGTCGGCTGCATGTCAAATCTTAGCGAAAGACTTGCAACGAGACGGATCCCTTTAGCCAATCAGAGAACAGTGCGCTGACGTTCTGTGTTTAGCCAAGCAGACAGCTAGCTAGCCAAGCAGACAGCTAGCTAGCCGAGCAGACAGCTAGCTAGCCGAGCAGACAGCTAGCCAGCCGAGCAGACAGCTAGCCAGCCGAGCAGACAGCTAGCCAGCCGAGCAGACAGCTAGCCAGCCGAGCAGACAGCTAGCTAGCCGAGCAGACAGCTAGCTAGCCGAGCAGACAGCTAGCTAGCCGAGCAGACAGCTAGCCAGCCGAGCAGACAGCTAGCCAGCCAAGCAGACAGCTAGCCAGCCAAGCAGACAGCTAGCTAGCCAAGCAGACAGCTAGCTAGCCAAGCAGACAGCTAGCCAAGCAGACAGCTAGCCAGCCAAGCAGACAGCTAGCCAGCCAAGCAGACAGCTAGCTAGCCGAGCAGACAGCTAGCCAGCCGAGCAGACAGCTAGCTAGCCAAGCAGACAGCTAGCTAGCCAATCAGACAGCTAGCCAAGCAGACAGCTAGCTAGCCAAGCAGACAGCTAGCTAGCCAAGCAGACAGCTAGCTAGCCAAGCAGACAGCTAGCTAGCCAAGCAGACAGCTAGCCAGCCAAGCAGACAGCTAGCTAGCCAAGCAGACAGCTAGCTAGCCAAGCAGACAGCTAGCTAGCCAAGCAGACAGCTAGCTAGCCAAGCAGACAGCTAGCCAGCCAAGCAGACAGCTAGCTAGCCAAGCAGACAGCTAGCCAGCCAAGCAGACAGCTAGCTAGCCAAGCAGACAGCTAGCCAAGCAGACAGCTAGCTAGCCAAGCAGACAGCTAGCCAGCCAAGCAGACAGCTAGCCAGCCAAGCAGACAGCTAGCTAGCCAAGCAGACAGCTAGCTAGCCAAGCAGACAGCTAGCCAGCCAAGCAGACAGCTAGCTAGCCAAGCAGACAGCTAGCCAGCCAAGCAGACAGCTAGCCAGCCAAGCAGACAGCTAGCTAGCTGTTTTGCTGCAGTAATAACTAGCCTAGCTTGCTGATATTTCTCTGGAAAGTCACAAAGTGTACCCTGTTTCTGGAGCATGTATTTCATGAAACTCGTTTGCTACAACACCTTGCTACATCAAGTGACAAACTTTGTTTCAATTTTTCATCACGTCATTGTAAAGAGGCACCACTACCGTGGAAACGGTCTTATTGATCTGAATGCCTGGTCTTCAGTCAGCTAAAAGCTAGTTTTGTCTCGTCTTAGGTCGGGTTTAGACTCACCCAACATCTGCTTCTGTTCCTGGGGAGGAGCAGCGGCCAGCATGGAGGCAGTCAGAGGCTCCTGCCCCTGGACGTGGACCGCCGGCTGCACACACGGAGACAAGGTTAGAGGGAATACACCAGCCGGCTGCACACACGGAGACAAGGTTAGAGGGAATACACCAGCCGGCTGCACACACGGAGACAAGGTTAGAGGGAATACACCAGCCGGCTGCACACACGGAGACAAGGTTAGAGGGAATACACCAGCCGGCTGCACACACGGAGACAAGGTTAGAGGGAATACACCAGCCGGCTGCACACACGGAGACAAGGTTAGAGGGAATACACCAGCCGGCTGCACACATGGAAACAAGGTTAGAGGGAATACACCAGGGTAATATTGACACAGTAGATGTTTTTTTGTGGTCCTCTGTAACTCTGTGTGGTCCTCTGAGTTGGTAGAGCATGGCGCCTGTAGTGGGTTCGATTCCCGGGACCACCCATACGCAAAATGTATGCACGTATGACTAAGTCACTTTGGATAAAAGTGTCTGCTAAATGGAACATTATCTATTATTTTTAAATCCTGCTTTCAGTTGCCATTTGATAGGAGAGAGGGGGCCTACCTGCTGCATAGTGAGTTGGGGCTGTGTGTTCATGTGGTGCTGAGGGTTGCGGACTCCTGCGGCGTACTTATACTGAGGCACGCCACGCAAAGGGGCGCCACTCACTGGGGCCGAAGAGGGGGCACGGGGCCCCATGGTCTGGGGGGCTGCAGAGGGGCAAGAAGAGATCCATTTGACGTTATGGAATTGGGGTTATAATGCATTTCCAATGTAACTTCATAAAGCACCTAAATCCAATATAAATCCTCCATTAGCATGTTCATAATGCAAAAGCACGCTACAACATATTACAAAGTCTGGGGCACAAATGAGTATCTCATGGTTACTCACCCATGCAACGCGTGGACATCATGCGAGGCCCCTGGTTGGTGGGTCTCATAGGGCTGGGCTGTCTGGGGGCAGAGGGACGCATGGAGCCTGGCATGTTCTGGAAGTCTGAAGTCCCAACAGGACCAGGGAGGGTCATTTAGGAAGACTTTTAACACTAAACTCTATAATTGTAGAGGTCAGAGGTCATGTTGTAAAGTAGTAGAGGTTATGAGGGAGTACTACTCACGTTGAGGTCTCACGCCATGGGTGGCCCAGCGAGGGCTGGGTCTCAGCTGGGCCATCTGGTTGGCAGGGTAGTAAGCAGCTCTGTTATGAGCCTATAGGGATGGAGAACACAGAGCAGATAGTATCTACATCCAACAGCATCCAGTCTGACACCCTTTCACTGTCAAGGGCTAGATCCATTGACATAAATGTGATTGTTTGACATGAATGTGATTGATTGATAGACCGAGTGGTGACCTGGGGGATGGCAGCCATGAAGTACCCAGAGGGAGGGGCAGGCTGGTAGGGGTTGAGGACTGGGTTGGGTACGGGCCGGACGGTGGCCATCCTCTGCATGTACTGGTTGGTGAGGTGAGCCTGGCGCTCCTCTTTCCTCTGAGCCAGAGCCACGTACAGCGGCTTGGTGGCCACGATGCGCCCGTTCATCTCCGTCACAGCCTTGGTGGCCTCCTCGGGGGAGGAGAAGCACACGAAGCCGAAGCCCTTGCTGCGGCCACCCTCCATCATCACCTAATGGAAGAGCGGGGAGAGGAAACGGTTTGCTTAGTACACAGCTGAACAGAACAAAGCAGTTCTCTTTAACATGTGTCAACAGCCAGGAGGTTGGTCCCTACCTTGGCACTGGTGATGGTGCCGAATGGGGAGAACTCTTTACGCAGGCGCTCGTCATCAATTCCATCGTCAAGATTCTTCACGTACAGATTGACACCCTGGAGGAGACATGTGGAACACACTTTTACAAAACAATACTCCAACATTCCTTTTGAATCCAACCTTGCATTGGACAGACATCATCTGAACCTTTGGTGAACTGGTAACTGTCTGTAGTACACATTTATCCAGCCATGCCAGAGGGATGTGGGGCTCATTAACAACTCACTATGGCAGCCATTTTGGCCAGTACAGTCCATTGTAGAGAAAACACGGAATTTGACGACAAGGCTGCAACAAAAACTGCACAACATCACAAAGTGCAGATTAACTGTCTGACCTGGTAACGTGTCACACGGTCCTGTTTCATCTGCTCAAACTTGCGTTTCAGCTCTGTCTGGCGCTCCACCTTCTTCTGGGCGCGGCCAACGTAGACCAGCTGTCCATTCAGCTCCTTCCCATTCAGCTCATCAACAGCCTGGAACACACGTCCTCTTTTAGAATATGGCCATTGGCCTTCCTATCCTTGATTGAGACCCTCCGTTGGCCTTCCTATCCTTGATTGAGACCCTCTGTATGGAACACAACCAACCAAGCAACCATTTCAAAGTACATTAACATTCTGCTCACCTTTTGGGCGTCCTCGTGCCTCTCGAAGCTCACGAAGCCAAAGCCTCTGGATTTGCCACTGTCATCAGTCATGACGCGGATACTCATTGCACTGCCTATATGTTAGAGGAGACAGTTCAGATACTCATGGCACTGCCTAGATGTTAGAGGAGACAGTTGATACCAATGCAATGGCCTAGATGTTAGAGACAGTTTAGATACTCATGGCATGCCTAGATGGGGTTTGAGGAGACAGTTCGATACTCATGGCATGCCTAGATGTTAGAGACAGTTCAGATATCATTGCACTGTCTAGATGTTAGAGGAGACAGTTCAGATACTCATGGCACTGTCTAGATGTTAGAGACAGTTCAGATACTCATTGCACTGTCTAGATGTTAGAGGAGAAAATTCAGATACTCATGGCACTGTCTAGATGTTAGAGGAGCCAGTTCAGATACTCATGGCACTGTCTAGATGTTAGAGACAGTTCAGATACTCATGCACTGCCTAGATGTAGAGGAGACAGTTTAGATACTCATGGCACTGCCTAGATGTTAGAGGAGACAGTTTAAAATACTCATGGCACTGTCTAGATGTTAGAGAAGTTCAGATATTCATTGGGATGTCTAGATGTTAGAGGAGACAGTTCAGAATCATGGCACTGCCTAGATGTAGAGGAGACAGTTTAGATAATCATTGCACTGCCTAGATGTTAGAGACAGTTCAGATACTCATTGCACTGTCTAGATGTTAGAGGAGACCGTTCAGATACTCATTGCACTGTCTAGATGTTAGAGGAGACAGTTCAGATACTCATGGCACTGCCTAGATGTTAGAGGAGACAGTTCAGATACTCATGGCAACTGCCTAGATGTTAGAGACAGTTCAGATACTCATTGCACTGCCTAGATGTTAGAGGAGATAGTTCAGATACTCATTGCACTGTCTAGATGTTAGAGGAGACAGTTCAGATACTCATGGCACTGCCTAGATGTTAGAGGAGACAGTTCAGATACTCATGGCACTGCCTAGATGTTAGAGGAGACAGTTCAGATACTCATGGCACTGCCTAGATGTTAGAGACAGTTCAAATACTCATGGCACTGCCTAGATGTTAGAGGAGACAGTTCAGATACTCATGGCACTGCCTAGATGTTAGAGGAGACAGTTCAGATACTCATGGCACTGTCTAGATGTTAGAGGAGCCAGTTCAGATACTCATTGCACTGCCTAGATGTTTAGAGGAGACCGTTCAGATACTCATTGCACTGTCTAGATGTTAGAGACAGTTCAGATACTCATTGCACTGCCTAGATGTTAGAGACAGTTCAGATACTCATGGCACTGCCTAGATGTTAGAGACAGTTCAGATACTCATTGCACTGCCTAGATGTTAGAGGAGACAGTTCAGATACTCATTGCACTGTCTAGATGTTAGAGACAGTTCAGATACTCATGGCACTGCCTAGATGTTAGAGGAGACAGTTCAGATACTCATGGCACTGTCTAGATGTTAGAGGAGACAGTTCAGATACTCATTGCACTGCCTAGATGTTAGAGGAGACAGTTCAGATACTCATGGCACTGCCTAGATGTTAGAGACAGTTCAGATACTCATTGCACTGTCTAGATGTTAGAGGAGGCAGTTCAGATACTCATTGCACTGTCTAGATGTTAGAGGAGACAGTTCAGATACTCATGGCACTGCCTAGATGTTAGAGGAGACAGTTCAGATACTCATGGCACTGCCTAGATGTTAGAGGAGCCAGTTCAGATACTCATTGCACTGCCTAGATGTTAGAGGAGACCGTTCAGATACTCATTGCACTGTCTAGATGTTAGAGACAGTTCAGATACTCATTGCACTGCCTAGATGTTAGAGACAGTTCAGATACTCATTGCACTGTCTAGATGTTAGAGGAGACAGTTCAGATACTCATGGCACTGCCTAGATGTTAGAGGAGACAGTTCAGATACTCATGGCACTGCCTAGATGTTAGAGACAGTTCAGATACTCATTGCACTGCCTAGATGTTAGAGGAGATAGTTCAGATACTCATTGCACTGTCTAGATGTTAGAGGAGACAGTTCAGATACTCATGGCACTGCCTAGATGTTAGAGGAGACAGTTCAGATACTCATGGCACTGCCTAGATGTTAGAGGAGACAGTTCAGATACTCATGGCACTGCCTAGATGTTAGAGACAGTTCAAATACTCATGGCACTGCCTAGATGTTAGAGGAGACAGTTCAGATACTCATGGCACTGCCTAGATGTTAGAGGAGACAGTTCAGATACTCATGGCACTGTCTAGATGTTAGAGGAGCCAGTTCAGATACTCATTGCACTGCCTAGATGTTAGAGGAGACCGTTCAGATACTCATTGCACTGTCTAGATGTTAGAGACAGTTCAGATACTCATTGCACTGCCTAGATGTTAGAGACAGTTCAGATACTCATGGCACTGCCTAGATGTTAGAGACAGTTCAGATACTCATTGCACTGCCTAGATGTTAGAGGAGACAGTTCAGATACTCATTGCACTGTCTAGATGTTAGAGACAGTTCAGATACTCATGGCACTGCCTAGATGTTAGAGGAGACAGTTCAGATACTCATGGCACTGTCTAGATGTTAGAGGAGACAGTTCAGATACTCATTGCACTGCCTAGATGTTAGAGGAGACAGTTCAGATACTCATGGCACTGCCTAGATGTTAGAGACAGTTCAGATACTCATTGCACTGTCTAGATGTTAGAGGAGGCAGTTCAGATACTCATTGCACTGTCTAGATGTTAGAGGAGACAGTTCAGATACTCATGGCACTGCCTAGATGTTAGAGGAGACAGTTCAGATACTCATGGCACTGCCTAGATGTTAGAGGAGACAGTTCAGATACTCATTGCACTGTCTAGATGTTAGAGACAGTTCAGATACTCATGGCACTGTCTAGATGTTTGAGACAGTTCAGATACTCATTGCACTGTCTAGATGTTAGAGGAGGCAGTTCAGATACTCATGGCACTGTCTAGATGTTAGAGACAGTTCAGATACTCATGGCACTGCCTAGATGTTAGAGACAGTTCAGATACTCATTGCACTGCCTAGATGTTAGAGGAGACAGTTCAGATACTCATTGCACTGTCTAGATGTTAGAGACAGTTCAGATACTCATGGCACTGCCTAGATGTTAGAGGAGACAGTTCAGATACTCATGGCACTGTCTAGATGTTAGAGGAGACAGTTCAGATACTCATTGCACTGCCTAGATGTTAGAGGAGACAGTTCAGATACTCATGGCACTGCCTAGATGTTAGAGACAGTTCAGATACTCATTGCACTGTCTAGATGTTAGAGGAGACAGTTCAGATACTCATTGCACTGCCTAGATGTTAGAGGAGACAGTTCAGATACTCATGGCATGCCCTAGTGTTAGAGAGACAGTCAACTATGGCATGCCTAGATGTTAGAGGAGCCAGTTCAGATACTCATTGCACTGCCTAGATGTTAGAGGAGACCGTTCAGATACTCATTGCACTGTCTAGATGTTAGAGACAGTTCAGATACTCATTGCACTGCCTAGATGTTAGAGGACAGTTCAGATACTCATTGCACTGTCTAGATGTTAGAGGAGACAGTTCAGATACTCATGGCACTGCCTAGATGTTAGAGGAGACAGTTCAGATACTCATGGCACTGCCTAGATGTTAGAGACAGTTCAGATACTCATTGCACTGCCTAGATGTTAGAGGAGACAGTTCAGATACTCATTGCACTGTCTAGATGTTAGAGGAGACAGTTCAGATACTCATGGCACTGCCTAGATGTTAGAGGAGACAGTTCAGATACTCATTGCACTGCCTAGATGTTAGAGGAGACAGTTCAGATACTCATGGCACTGCCTAGATGTTAGAGACAGTTCAAATACTCATGGCACTGCCTAGATGTTAGAGGAGACAGTTCAGATACTCATGGCACTGCCTAGATGTTAGAGGAGACAGTTCAGATACTCATGGCACTGTCTAGATGTTAGAGGAGCCAGTTCAGATACTCATTGCACTGCCTAGATGTTAGAGGAGACCGTTCAGATACTCATTGCACTGTCTAGATGTTAGAGACAGTTCAGATACTCATTGCAACTGCCTAGATGTTAGAGACAGTTCAGATACTCATGGCACTGCCTAGATGTTAGAGACAGTTCAGATACTCATTGCACTGCCTAGATGTTAGAGGAGACAGTTCAGATACTCATTGCACTGTCTAGATGTTAGAGACAGTTCAGATACTCATGGCACTGCCTAGATGTTAGAGGAGACAGTTCAGATACTCATGGCACTGTCTAGATGTTAGAGGAGACAGTTCAGATACTCATTGCACTGCCTAGATGTTAGAGGAGACAGTTCAGATACTCATGGCACTGCCTAGATGTTAGAGACAGTTCAGATACTCATTGCACTGTCTAGATGTTAGAGGAGGCAGTTCAGATACTCATTGCACTGTCTAGATGTTAGAGGAGACAGTTCAGATACTCATGGCACTGCCTAGATGTTAGAGGAGACAGTTCAGATACTCATGGCACTGCCTAGATGTTAGAGGAGACAGTTCAGATACTCATTGCACTGTCTAGATGTTAGAGACAGTTCAGATACTCATGGCACTGTCTAGATGTTTGAGACAGTTCAGATACTCATTGCACTGTCTAGATGTTAGAGGAGGCAGTTCAGATACTCATGGCACTGTCTAGATGTTAGAGACAGTTCAGATACTCATGGCACTGCCTAGATGTTAGAGGAGACAGTTCAGATACTCATGGCACTGCCTAGATGTTAGAGGAGACAGTTCAGCTACTCATGGCACTGTCTAGATGTTAGAGGAGCCAGTTCAGATACTCATTGCACTGCCTAGATGTTAGAGGAGCCAGTTCAGATACTCATTGCACTGTCTAGATGTTAGAGACAGTTCAGATACTCATTGCACTGCCTAGATGTTAGAGGAGGCAGTTCAGATACTCATTGCACTGCCTAGATGTTAGAGGAGGCAGTTCAGATACTCATGGCACTGTCTAGATGTTAGTGCAATGAGTAATCTGAACTGTCTCCTCTAAC